ATGTTTTTTGACAACTCTGGTGCTTATTGAAAACACTAATGGTGATGCTTTTTGAATATTTAAGTGCTTATCGAAAACACCATTGGGGTCCCATAATGAATCCACTTATCCATGATTTTTCCATCTTAATCTCAAATGTTTCCTCGATATCTAATTTGAGCTTATTCTTCCTGGAACCAATAGATAGTTATATTCACTTGCAAAACATTATTGAAGGTGACACTCGTGCTCTATGTTAAGTTAGTCAAAATGTTCCTGAAATTAGCATATTTTGCTACAAATCTGAAAAATCTCTTTTATGAAATATTATTTGTTGAATGACGTCGCAGTTAAACTTTGTCGTCAAGGCTTATAGTTAATATTAAAATTGCCAAAAATAAAAATAATATTATCAGTATTAATACAATTTTTAAAAAATTTGATCAATTTGCAGGGCCAAATTTCTAAGGCCAAAAAGAGTACATTCATTTTCCTTTGTTAGTGTGTATATAACATGCCATGTATGTCCCTCGGTACAATGTTTTGTAAAGAAATAAAAATATTGACTAATATTTGTTATAAAAACAGCTGCATATGACATGTTCAATTGATACTAAGACGATTGGTGGCTCTAAATGCAATAAAACAATGTACATGTAACATGACCCGATTTGTGTGACTTTCACAAAAACTGTAGGATTCTGCTATATAAAGATCTCTGCTAAAGTTCAAGATGAATTTTAACGTGTATTGAATATACAGAAAGAAAATGATGATATTGCCGTGTGCTATTTTTGTCTCATTTGGATGATTAAGCCATTTAAGGACAATACTAAATTTCATTTGTTTTATTGAATAAATTTTGAGTTATAGAGCCTCGAATACATTATTCATCAATAATTCATATGCAATATTTTGTATCAATTTTATTTGATTGTTATTCAAGCATTTTTCATCTTTCACGGATACGTCATTAGCAATATGATTTTGTTTATAGGTTTGTGCGCTAAAGTATACATAAACCCTATGTAATGGTTAGAAAATTAAAGTGCATTTTCCGCGTTATCGATTGGATATGATGTTTACTTAGTACTAATACAATATTTACTTTGAAATTGTAACATTTTTCAGACCAATTGCCGATGAAAAAATCCACTTGTTTTTAATCATGTTCTATTTCCTGGTGTCATCTTGCAAACTGAATGGTAAAGTCAACTAAAACGAGATTAAACGAGATTTAATTGAGATCGTGCTTATAAACCTGGGTACAAATTAATATTTCAATTGTTCCGTATTTCCCATGGGAATTTTAGGAAAAGTGTACTTATATCATGAAAAGATTGATTCCATATAAAAATTGAATGCCGCAGGACAAATCAGAGCTGTGTGGTATGATAGGGATACGCGACAGGAGACAAATCTGAGTGCTGTTTAGAATCATAACTTTGAAACGCTGCTATATCGTAAGTGCATGATAGATTTTTAACGATATCAAAGGAATACATAAATATATGACTTTCACATATAAAAATGTTTTATGTTGGAGTTTATGAAATAGAGAAATTCTGGACCACTTTTTGCGTTTAGTATTAAGAACTTTCCTTCTAACTAAATTTGATAGATTGTGGCTAATATATTCAATGTCCTTTGTACGATTTTTTTTGAAACCATTGCCAATCCCAAAATTTTGGAGAAAAACGGGTTTTTTTTATTACTTATTCAAGATTTAATATCACTCAATTCGAACTTTGTTTTAAATGTCAATTTATTATTATTGTCTGCGTGCACGTGCTTGTGTCTAATGAATTAAGAATAGTAATTTCCAGGTAAAAAATATCGATATTTGTAGGGAAACAATATGAGTTATTTTGTGTTATTCAATCCTGTACATTATGCATTACTTACTCATATTCCCCTCAAAGGTATAATGTGTAGATATCAATTGCCTATCAAGTCTCATCGATGACCGTTTTAATTTTCTTGCAAAGTATTTGTGCTGGATATTTGCAAGCATTAGACTAGAAGAAAAACAGAATTTAAAGCTTGTTCAATGTGTAATTTGCAGTCTTGTTCATGCAGGTTTTTGCCTTCAGTACATGCAATTTTCCGATATGTGTGCATGTATATCAGACATTAATAAAAAAAAAATTCAGTTTCCTTGTGAAGTGTTCTATGTTTCGTGTTGTGATGTAATGTTGAGGCTTTTGTTAAAGAGAACATAACGAGAGTCATACTTCATGCTTCTTCCGAATTTTCTGTTAAGTTTCAAATTCCTAAAAATCTTATGAGTTGTTTCTTAACGAGAGTCATACTTCATGCTTGTTCAGAATCCTCTGTTAAGTTTCAAATTCCTAAAAATTTTAAGAGTGGTTTCCTAACGAGAATCATAAGTCATGCTTCTTCAGAATTCTCTATTAAATTTCAAATTCCTAAAAATCTAAGAGTGGTTTCCTCTTGATAAGTGGGAAATATTTAGCACGTTTTATTCTAAAACTCATCTAATCTTCTGTCAATGTTTACTTTATGTACAACGGTCATGAATTCTGGTGCAATAGCAGATAATATTGATGTGAAAAAAACTATATATTTTTGCTGAGAGTTAACTCGCATTTACCAGAAACTTCTTTTTATACTGAAAGAAAAATCAATATGAATACCTTGTAATTACATCGAGCAGATTAACACAGATATTCCGCAGACAAATTTAGGAAATGAAAATAACCTGTATAAGACAGGGCATTTCTGATTTTGGTTTGACTTTTGTGTCCTAAAATAATGATTAATATTGGGGTTATATCCTATCATTTTTAAGGTACGGGAAATTAAAAGGTTTGAGTATAGTAAATTCTATGATAATAACCTACAAGGAAATTGTTAGTATAATGGGAAAGAAGTTTTATTATTATAACTTCTAAAATCACCTTTCATTCTTGGAAATAAAACGATTAAGATTCCAAAAGGAGGGGATCAATCAAAAACTATAAGGTAAAGAAAAACAAACAACACCACGACCAAAAAATAAACGAAGACAATCTATTAAAAAAACCAACACAGAAAGCAAAAGATTGAACAGCACAAAGTCCAACAAAAACTGGTCGAACTTACATGATCCGGAGGGTCAGCAGTTCTTGCTCAACAAATGATATACCCACTTTGTTATTTTCTTCTCTTTAAATTCTATTATCGTTTAATTGTTGAATTGACTATGAGAATATTAGAGAAGACCATGTTGTACGTTTGTTTTTTCTACATTGGCTAGAGGTATAGGGGGAGGGTTGAGATCTCAAAAACATGTTAAACCCCGCCCCATTTTTGCGCCTGTCCCAAGTCAGGAGCCTCTGGCCTTTGTTAGTCTTGTATCATTTTTAATTTTAGTTTCTTGTGTATAATTTGGAGTTTAGTATGGCGTCCATTATCACTGAACTAGTATACATATTTGTTTAGGGACCAGCTGAAGGACGCCTCCGGGTGCGGGAGTTTCTCGCTGCATTGAAGACCCATTGGTGGCCTTCGGCTGTTGTCTGCTCTATGGTCGGGTTGTTGTCTCTTTGACACATTCCCCATTTCCATTCTCAATTTTATGATACGGTTTTTCAACCTTTTGTTTATGTTCAGACTTAAGATGTGATGGCGCTATTTCTGTGTAGAGGCACATTTGTTCTTTTGTTGAAAGGAACGTCAACTTCCGTTATTGATATTGAAAATATATTATGTTTTTCATTACCACTCAGTCGGTACCGCTTCCGTTGGACAGTAAGTCCTTGACGGTACAATCTGACCAGGCGCAAGTTTTTCGGTACAAATAGGATTTTAATAGATGGTACACTTTGTCTATAAATGTGTAGTTATAAACTAAAACTATGGTTGCAACAACTCTTAGCAATATTTTGGCTGTTCTATTCAGTCTTTTTCTGTTTTTGCTAGCAAACGCTACTTATAGATTTTTCCTGTTTTGTTTTTCTTGGTCTCAAGTACTTGATGAAATGTATGCCAGTAACACAGATCGTGCGCATGGAAAGAGGTATCATATAAGTGTTGTTTTGTTTTGTGGATGTGTTTGGACGCATAGTTTTATATCAAACACAGGCAAGCGAATGTCAACCCTAAACAAGGGTGTTGGGTGACCATATTTCCGTTATCTATAGTTAATCTCTGGGGTTCATTAAAATTTGTTTGAAAAGTGACTGAAAACATGGTTGACATTTTCGTTTGTTTTCGCGAGGTCCGTTTGGTATAATTGCTTTGCGTTTGATGATGGTCTGTTAAAATCTATATTCAATTTGTATCGTAGAACAGATTCTCTAGAATTGTGTTTGTCTGGGAACTGGGTTTTCATGAACTTAAGACTCAATGAGTCAGTTTGTTAAAAAGACTGCTTCGTATAAATATTAACTTTTCAGCCTCATAACAGCAAGTTTCTTTTAAAAAGAGTGAAGATATTCCTTACATGTATGAAATGATGTTGCTCATAGCTAGAGGAAATTTCTTTCACTGAAATTTTACTTAGCTATAGGAGGAGTAGCGAATAGAAAAAAAAATACCAGAAATACCCTTTCCTTCTGTTTAAGTCGAAATGTGAAAAATGAGGATTTTAATTCAAAAAAAATTGAATAAAATGCACAACAGCTTTTGTACAGCGTTAATAAAATCTAGGTTAAATTCCCGTTAGTGATTTAGGTGTACCTGCAGACAGAACAATCATGTGACATCTTTTGATGTTCATTAGTTCTGTCAATGCAAGAAATAGCAATTGATATGTGTCAACAGATAACTACAAACGGTACTCAATGTACTCAAAACACCATGTAAAATAAAAACATGAAAGAGAATTTATATGATTGGCACATTTTGTATTTGTTGTGTATCCACCGTTCCTTCATTAGTGGGTCATAATTGTTAATTCTACGTACGTAGTTCTTCGTACGAATTTTATATTTTAAAGTAGCAAAATTACTCGATTCTCTATTTTTCGTAATAATAGAACACAAGTATTTATCTTCAAATACTTTTTTCAGATTTCACAGCTGAAAATGGATTTATGGTCACGCGACAGAAGTATGAAAAGCCCAATCCCTGATCTTGTTGTAGTTCCTGAAATTGAGGAGCACCAGACAGATCCTCTTAGTCCAGATATGCTCTCTTTACCAAGCAACATATGGTTAACACCGAGAAGTTCCGGGTCATCTGCTGCACAGAGAGCCAGCAGTATTACATCTTCCATTTTTGATTTATCTGCAGAAGCAGAACAACTTGAAAAATCTCTTAAAGACAATAATTGTTTCAAAACACAAAAAATTCTTGATTTACATCATCACAAATTTCCACTGCATTTTCAAGTCGATCGGTTTCATCATGATAAATCAATGTCAGAACCTGCTAGAAGCAGACGACCTAGCAGTAGGATAAGCCAAGAAGGGGATTTCAATTTTCGGAAGAGTCCAACTTTTCTTGATATTTTTGATCATGATAGAAGAGAAAGCGTGACCCCTGAAGCTGATATTCCATCTATTTTTAAAACAACTCTTCATGTAGCAATAAGATCTAATTCTGTAGAAGTAATTAAACTTTTGTTGAAATACGGTATTGATCCAAATTTTCCGACTACCAATTTGATGCATGTTGCTTCAAAAGGAAACAACATTATTGACTGGAAGCGAGCTAATGTCCGCCATTCTTATATTTCTCATCACATCGAAATAGATTACCACGATGATCACAATTTTTTCCAAAGATACCACTGTAAAGAAACGCCAAATATAACAATTTCTACCGATGAAACCACTACATTCCAGCATCAAGACCCTCATCCTACCAATAATAGTTCACTTGATTTGTTATCATTTTACAATCAAGAGGAACTCAATAATTTACCGCCTTTATATTCTGCGGTAGTTTTTGGTAAAATTCAAATCGTTCGTTTATTATTGCAACATAAAGCAGATCCATGTATTCAAGATGCAATAGGTAATTCTCCACTTCACTTAGCAGTGACTAAGCAATTTTTCAATTTAAATATTGCCAGGGAATTTTTAAAATACGGTGCAAGCATTTATCTGCAGAATAATGAAGGAATTTCGTCGTTTAATTATTGTTCAGAACTGCGACAAGAACAGCTGACTTTAGTTGATTCAATTTTGAATGGGAAATCAGTTTATGTATTGGGAGATTCAATTGCTCACAGAGAAGATATTTGCATCCATGGCGGTGTGCAAAGACTACTAAAAAGATTGAATAACTCGGATCACAAATCGTTAACAAAAGACAAGAAATCTCGTTCTCATGGTGGCACTGCTAGCGATTTACTCAGCGAAATGCGAGAAAGACTTTCTTCCGGTGGATCCAGCAACCGGAGCAGTAAAAGCAAACACCAGTCGACAATTATAGAAGACCCAGACTTAGACAGTGATATATCACTTGTAAGTATTTACTTGATAATCATTCTGTCTGCCTTTCCTTCTTTAATGTTGTGCGTGATTCTGTATCCATTTGAAAACGGAATTGGAATAGCCTTTTATTTTCGGGAATAGCAATTATTTATCTGCAAGCCATCAATTATTATCAAGCAGTTATTAGAATGGTCAACTTTTAGCATCTGAAAATTATTATTTCTTTTTTACTTCATCTAAATGCAGACGATAGAAAAGTTTAGCAGAAAATTATTTTGTTAAAAAAATAAAAAAGTGTTCATTGAATACATTATAATTGCAATAAAAAATAATGTAATTTTAATTGAATAAGGTAAATTTTGTTAATACATTTGATATAAAAAATGTGCAAAATTTTAATATGTGAAAAACAATGAGTTAATACGGCTTCTTCTGTGTAAAAAAAAGTTATTAGTAAAAAAGGTTAATGCAGTTTCGCTGTTTGATGACGTCATTCAGTTTATCTGGATCCATACAAATGCATAAAATACCTCAGCAAAAGTTAATTAAATATTTGTTTAATTTTATTAATTGGATGAGTTACAGTTGTAATGTTTACTACTATTCCATACCGAAACTGGGTGAGACTGAGGAAATTTATTTTCGATTAGAAACAAATTAAAAAAAAATCTTCTGAAACCAAAATGTGTGGGAAACTATTACGAAAGAACATTTGGTTATAGTCAATTATTATTGTTACTTCATCTAGATTATTTGGTTATAGTCAATTATTATTGTTACTTCACCTAGATTATTTGGTTATAGTCAATTATTAATGTTACTTCACCTAGATTATTTGTGCGTTTCTTTAAGGGGTATATCATATATAAGCCAGTCGCTTAACAGATTGGCATGGAGTTACTATTTTTGGCGGACATGATAGTCTACATTTTTTTCGTAAGAGCTTTCCATGGACAAAAATGCAAGATTAATTATTGCGATTTCAGACCAATCTGCATACAGATATATGTATCAGATTTCGAAATGCGAGTTCTTATTATTGTGATGCTCACCCACCCGTAATAAAAACCTCGCAATAATTTCTGAATTTACAGTATTAAATACATCAACATTAAAAATTGACCCTTTGATAAGAAGTATCGTATAAGACAACATTTTCTGATTTCTAATTCTGTTTTCTGGAAGCCGGAGTGCCCGAAGAGAACCACCGACCTTCGTTTGGAAAATTGACAATCCTAGTCAAATAAGATTGGAGTCGAGTGCACCTGTCATGTGCGGGATACGAAGACACAACCTTAGTGTTGACTGGCTAGTGATACAGTAGTTCGACTACTTAGACCATTCGGCCACCGAGGCTCTTACAATAAGGACATTATTTAATCATCACTCGGAAAACAATTTAGCTGACAGTGTATCATTTGTTGCATATATATTAAAACAATGCTCTTAACTTTAATAAATTCAGATTTAACTAAAAGATTAAGAACGGAATAACAAAAGGCATTATTATTTCTTAACTGCGAAAAAATGAGATTGAGTATACGTCACCAAGACAACAACCTAATGTCACAAAGATTTATTGAGGACAACATAAGGTCTCTAACAATAACGGACTTTTTTCTACAAATTGTTTGAAACGTATAAGAACATTTCACGCATAGCTTGCAAGCTAAATGCATGATCGTGAAAATAACTATATTTTCGGGGGAGGGGGAGGGAACAGGGAATCTTTTAAGACCTGTATCTACATTGTCTACGTGCCTGCAGGTAATTGCTTAAAGTTGCCAACGACTTTTGTCGCTGATCTTCTTGACAAACTCGCACACAGTGAATTTAATTATTTAATCATAAATAACAGTTCATTTAGTGAATCAGATAATTCAATATAATACAAATCCAGAGGATGTTCCGAATTGATTTTCACGACATCTAGAATAATTGTCATTTGACTGTGTGTGTAGCCAGAATAACATCTTCAATCAGCATATCAATACTCAAGAATTGGTAATCGTATTACAGCAGAGTTTCCCCATCATTTATGCACAATAGAACTAATGAACTTCCAACAATTTGCTGACAAATATGCAACTTCAAGTCCTAATGATAAAGTAGGGTCCTTCTGTCAATTAGATAATTTGCTTTATTCGGGGTAATGGTGCGAGTGTTTTCAAAAGATAACACTCTTACTGGGGCGGTTACACTTTTGTTGCTTCAAAGAATTTATTATGGCAGAGACATAATTTTTATATCTCTGATTATGATTATAACGTTTTAATGTTAATTAAGCACTATTAATACATATTTGCAGTTGCTATTTGTTTTGTTTCGTCGTGGTTTTTTTTTTAGTTATATATGTACAACCTTCTGGGTTTATTATATCTATAATGGCGAACCATTTCATCAGCTTATTCCAGTGTAGAAAGTTTTAACGCAAATGTTTGACTTATTTTGTATTTATAATGACAACAAAATCTTACTTGGGCTACACTTTTTCAATTACTCGCAAGTTTTATTCTGCAAGAAGATTATATATATGTCTATGACGTTGTAATGAAAGGCGAGAGCGTTAAAAATATAATCACCTTGCAGAATAAAACTTGTAAGAAATTGAAAAAATGTAGTCCAGGCAAGATTTTTTTTGTCATTGATCAATTTATTAAAAGGACGTAACAACGCCATTGCATACAAAAACTGGACATTAAACGGTTTTCATATGTATGCATTGCACAACAAAATATATTAAAACAGTGAATTTCCAAAAAACAATCTTATTCCTATAACTTGGTAAAACAAACTAGATCTAGTATTGTAAATTTTGGTAAAGCAAAATCTTAAATATTTCATTTAGAGTGATATATTGAACGTTTAATTCCACCTTATTAGATATTTTGTTTATGAAGATAACACAATAAAGAACAATGATAATTGTGCATATATCACTAGTTTCCTTCGTTTTCACTGCTTCCATGGTATTAATCTTGGCGATTAGACTACCGAGGTATCTTTTTATGTAAATACAACGATATGAAAGACTTCCAAAGATCAATCCATGCCTTTTTTTTTGGAAAATTAGGGTGGTATATGCGCTGATATTTCATTAGCTCGTTGAACTTAATAAGACATACCAAAAAGGACAAAAATATATGTGAGCGTATCATTTCACGACGGCGTCGTAGTTATCCATGTGTTTACATACAACTCTCAACTTTTAATAACGCAGAAAAAAAAACGAATCCGATGATCCCCGTTACATCTTGATATCGATGATTTAATAGGGAAAATATTCGATACAATTATAAAAAAGAATATATCTTTCTTGTAAGTGGTATAAGCCGAAAATATCGACTACGGCTCTGTATTTTTCATCTGCCTCTTTAGAGGTATATATCGGTATATACTACTTACTAGTCCAATCGTGGTATACTTCTGTTGTAGATAGTAAATGTAAAGCTTTTTTTATGTTTGCGTTTTAGCTTGAAAAGTTAGTGAGCAAAAACTATGCGAGAAGTTAAGTAGTAATATCTGCATGTGTGAAAGCCAGATTAAATATTAAATGCGTAGAAGTTTACCCTTGTGACATATAATCCGCAAGTCATGAAAGAAGGATAAAAGCAACAATTAAATAAAATCATTTCAAGAACAACAGTAATTAGTAATTTTTGTAGTAAAAAACTCGCGTTTTTTTATGATTAAAAATGTAGCCATGTTCTAGTAAACACAACTTAAATTCTTTTTGTGCAAACCGGTGAATCTGAGACTTCTATCTACTCTGTGTTATCTCAGTATTCTCAGGTTAAATTTATGATAACTTGTTGTAACAAAATTTTGTAAAAAATTTAAAAAAAAACTTGTACACTAGCATATGAAGAAAGATTAATGCATAGAATAGTGTCAATCATTAATGTATTTTGAGATATATGAAGATCTATGAAAACTTAGTCATCTCGGAATGGTGCAATTGTCTGTTTCGTTTTATTTCGAGACGATTTTAATTCTCATTGTTCCATAATAAGGTTTTCATCTGATCATGGAAGTATTATATTGACAATAATACTTCCATGGTTTAACCAATCTTTTTAAAAAAAAAACTGTGCATATATTAAAAAAAAAACAGGACAGGACACACGAGTATATTTGTATGACCCGCCTACGTTATTGGGACCGGCGCATTATATTTCCCGATCTATGGGTCCGTTTGTCCGTCCCGTACCAGGTTAAAGTGTTTAGCCAATATTGTTGACATGAAGTTGTGGTCAAATCAAATTTAAACTTAGTACGCATGTTCATCATAATGGGAAATTTGTTTTTATATAAAACTTTTGCATTAAAAGTTTTGAATCAAATTTTCGCAGTTCATGGTGTCCTGTTGACACATATTGTTGTCAACAATTTACCAAATGGCACAAACTCTTTAGATGTACTGAAAAATTCTCGAAACAAAGGAACGTTGCTTTTACTTGCTGTTTCTCAGCTCAATGTCACGAAAGTTTATATTGCTGTGAAAAAAAACTTTAAAGTTGCACCTCAATCGCGTTGTCTTCTATTTTGTACATAGTATTACTGAAACGTTTTGTCTATTTTCGGTTTTTATAAGCCCCAAGTGATTTCTGTGAATTTGGACTTCAAATGTTGGGCATTCATTATACCCAATGAAGGTTGAAGATTAATGATCCAAAATATGGCTCTAAATTAAGCTTAATATATATTTTTTTTTTCGAATTTGCAAACCAAATGCTGTATTCATGAACTTTGATAACGTTATTCAGTTATATTAAATGCGTGGAAGTTTACCATTGTGACATATAATCCGCAAGTCATGAAAGAAGGATAGAAGCATTATATTTTCCGATCTATGAATCCGTTCGTCCGTCCCGTATCAGGTTAAAGTTAGTACGCATGTTCTTCATAATGGGAAATATTTTTTTTTTATATAAAACTTTTACATTAGAGTTTTGACTCAGACTTTCGCAGTTCATTGTGTCCTGTGGACACATATTATTGTCAACAATTTACCATAGTATTTTTTGTTA